CCGGCTCCCGGGGCCCGCCCTGACCCCCGGTCCCCTCCGGGCTGGGCGAGCGCCTGGGCTTCCAACGAGGCGGCCTCCTAGGCGCGCCACCGGCCCCCTCGGCTGCCCTGTTTCGGTTCGCAGTTTCCGTCTCCCCAGTTCAAAGAAAATGAATTCAAGGCAGGCCACACAGGGGCCCGCAGGCCTCGCCTGCCCGCCCTGCTCCATGGCCAAGGCCGCCCCAGGGAGGTGGGGCCTTCCTGCCCTGCCGGCCACCATGAAGGGAGGCCGAGTGAACTGCACGGACAGAGAACCAACAACAGCAAGGCGGCCAGACAAGGGCCTCCTGGCACGTGCGCTCCGCCTGAAGCCTAAACCCTACAGAGCTGCCTGCATGTCAGCCTTTACCCCTGCCCTGCTGCCCGCTGGCCCCAGGGCCTGGGCGCTCCATACCCGAGAACCCTTCGTTAGACCATGAACTGGAAGGCCTCCAGGGCTTACCACAGCCTGCAGGGGCTGCTCTGCAGGTGGTGACAGGAAGCTTCCATGGCGCTGCTTGTCCCTTTGCATTTGGGGAGCTGGACCTAGGCCGCGCACCGCGTACACCCACGCTGCTGTGGGCTGTGGCAGCACCCGGCAGCCCTGTGCGGGGCAGAGGCCAGGACAGGGATGCACCCAGGGCCCTTGCCTGCACAGATGCCCCTAGGACCCGGCTGCACCCTAATAAAAGGCACTCCCACACAGCTGACTGGATTCCTCTGGGGCTGTGGTGTGTGGCTAAGGGGTCTGCTGGGGATGCTGGGTAGGCCAGGACCAGCAGGGGTGTAAGGGACATGGATGTGGAGAAAGGGCAGAACTGTGGGGACCAGCCACACCCGCCTGAGTTCTGGCACCTTCCTCCAAGCCAGGGCAGGCAGCTGCCGGGCACCCAAGCACCTGGGGCCTCTTGCTGGACAACCGGTTGGCTGGAGCACTGCACCAAGCTGCTGGCCCCCTCACCTGCCCCTAGAGGGCCTTGGCTCCTGTCTACAGCAGGGAGCTCGGTGCCAGAAGGACAGCCTCGTGTCCCATTGGAGGAGGCAATGCTCGACTCCAAGTGCAACCAGTGCTGCTCGCCTGGCGTGGCCAGTGCCCTCTGGGGACAGCTGTCCCTCCGTACGATTGGGCACTGACCGTCACCATGAAACTCCCCAGAAGCAGACCCAACTTGTTCCTCAGAAAGGTGTGGAATGACAGGGGTCCTGGAGGTCCCTCCCATCCTGACCTTGCAGCGGTTCCTCCTGTGGAGTACAGGAGCCTCCAGGGACAGGACCTGCTGGAGGCCACCTGGATGGGGGAACTTGCCCACCGAGACCACCCGGCCCTGGGGCTGCCTGTGCCTTAGACACCCAGCGGGCTGCCCTCCCATGCAGGAGCCCTCTGCGCAAGAGACCACAGCCCCCAAGGGTCTCATCGGCCTGGTCTCTCAGGCGGAATCATGCTGGGTCACCTGCCACGGGCCCCACCATTGGCCACTTCGTGTGCCTCTGCTGACCAGGACAGGTGTGGTTGGAGGGGGTGGTTACAATGGGTCTCGGAGGTGGCCTCCTATCTGCCTGCAGTGGTCTGGCTAGGGGCCGGGAGTAGTCAGTGAGGGGCAGCTTCACCTGCTCCTCTGGACCCCACCCCAGCCCCCTGGGGAGCTCTGAGCATGGCCTGGACCCCTGGGGTTGGTGTTCACCTGTGCCCCCCCTTCCCGCAAGGCCATTCTCCTAACGAGCTATACACCACATGGATTCCGGGCTTGGGGAGATGCTCCACAAGGTCTGATTTGCTTTTGAGAGATGGTGTCCACCCACTATATCCACCCACGTGGACCTGGTGCTCGTGGCCCCAGGTTCGGCCGCCAGCAGTGGGACAGGGCAGCCCCTGGGCCAGCTTTTTACTTACGTTGTGAGGAGCGCACCCTGACTCCCACAGCGGGAAGCTTGGCTGCGGCTGCCCCAGTGCCCTTTCCTATCACTGCTCCCTGGACTGTCACCACTGTCCACCCCGTGTGCATACTGCATCGGGACCGAGCCTGCTCCAGAGAGCCAGGAGGTGAGGTCGCACCCCCGCACAAGGACCTCAGAGCCCAGGGTCTGGAGTCCGAACCACCCCTGCCCTCTCTGCCTCGGCCTGTGCCTGGCCAACTCTCCCGACCATGTGATCCGTTTCCGAAACTTACCATCCTTTAAGGTGTCTGCGGTCGGGGAGAAGCTTGAAAATGTTAGCTGCAACCTGGGCCCTCAAGCAAGTGCCGTGCGAAGCTTAGGGCTGGGTGTTGTCCAGGAGAGGCCTGGGGGGCAGCCCAGGTCACATGGGGGTCCCAGTGCACCCCAGGGGAAGGACCGCCTTAGGGAGCGCCAGGGAACACTAGTTGTCTGGGGTAGCCTAGGGCTGGCCAGGCCTTCCTGGGGCCCGAGGACTGGGCTGGATTCTTGCCCCTGCCTGGGATCCCCCCCGCAGCCCAACTCCATCACAGGCCACACTAGATCTGCAAGTTTATTGGTTCAAAGTCACTGCGTAGGTACATCCATTGCGTCCCCAGGCCTGCAGCTGGTGACTGTCCATCTGGAGCAGTTACCACTACAGACATCACCTTTCACTGTTTAAAATAAGCCTTTTTAAAGCATCTGACACAGAGAGCTGAGAGGCCCCAATCGGCCAGCCAGCAGTTTTCCTGAGGGACTCTGGGAGGGACGGCTTGAGCACCCTCCCCTGCTGGTCGTGGGGCTCTGGGGCTGACTGCAGGCAGCACCATCCGCCCAGCAGGGGAGACGCCCACAGGAGCCCCTGGAAACATCCAGGACTCTGGGCCTGGAGCCAGCTGGGGCCAGCAAGGAGCTGCAAAGCAGGCACACCCGGCTGAAATGGGGGAGGCGGAGCACATGACGGACAGATGGTGCCGGGACCCAGGGCGCAGCTGGGACCAGGGCCTCTCCTGGAAGGGGACAGCAAGGTGGTTTGAGGGGTACGTGGGCCAGCCCAGAACGGAGGGACTTGGCAGGTGGGGCTGCTCGGGGCTGGCCAAGGTGCATCTGCACAGCCTCCGCCAGCCCTCGGCCGCCTTGCCGCCCACGCCTCCATCTGAGGGTCCCTCTCACTCGCCTGGCTCCAAGTGCCCCAGCTCGCTCTGGCCAGTGCCCAGCCATGCAGGCCGTGGCCCGCACGGTCTTCACCACCATCTCCGGGTAGAGGCCCGCACAAAGCAGGGGGCACCCAGAGCCGCCGCTGGCGAGGCCAGCCTGGAGGAGGTGCCCAGAAGCTCCAGGCGCCAACCCTGGCAGGACCCACCGTGTGCTACACTTCTGTCCGCGTGCTCGGGCCCTGCTCTCTGCATGGGCCTCGCTATGAGAGGCTGCCCAGAGCAGCAGGGTCCCGAGGTCATGCTCCGTCAGCAGGGTCTGCCCCAGGACTCGCGTCTCCTGGCTTCCAGGCCCCTGTGAGGCTCGGCCCACAGGCAGGGAGACAGCGTGTGGGCCAAGGGGCTGGATAGGCAGGTGAGACCTTTGGTGGCCTTAAGTTTGCCTTCCCATCTTTCCAAACATATTTCAGGTTCAGGTGATTATTTAGGGGAGAAGGTGGGAGAAGACGATTGCTCTTCCATCACGTTAAAAACACCTAAACCCCAGCCGTGGGTGTGAACCCTGCTTTCACCATCTATCCACGTGGTGTGACCACAGCCAATGGTGGGCCATCCCACCTGAGCGCCTCCGCACAGTGAGGCCTGTCAAGACCACCACCCAGACGCCTCCCTCCCTGCACCCTGACTGCCTGCAGGGGTCATGGGGTGCCCTCCCCTCGCAAGGAGGACAGGTGGCTGGCCAGCATCGTGGCCAGGGTCATGTGTCCTGGCCCCCTGGTGCTTCAGAGGGCCTTGGCACTGGCGGGGTGCCCCACATGGGGCGCCGCCTTCTGGGGGCGGCGAGCGAAGGCGTAGGCCTGGCCCAGGATGGCCAGGTCCACCAGCACCTGCAGCAGCGCCACCACGGAGAACTGCATGGGCCGG